CTTTTTGCCGTATGAGTATACGTTGCCCAGGGTGCACCACGTGGAGGTAAGTCTATCGCACTCCCCACAACTGATTATGTAGACTCACTTGAAAATAGTAAAAATCAATTATATACAAGTCTTCGTTCCCTTAAGTGGGTTTATCACGCTGTCCGACGCCGGTAGCTCAGATGCCAAGTTTTTTGTTGGTAATAGGTATTCTCCAGGTCTAATTAAAACGCACCCCACTCTCCTACCGTATTAAAATGGCTTTATGTGTTAGAATACTAACTACGAAAATGCTTATTTATGCACCATTTGAATTAGGGTCTGTATTATTAATTACGATTCTTATTCTTATCTAAAGATATAGGCAGTGTGCTACTCTCTGAACCAGATTTTGATCCAATGCTCTTTCTTCTCAAGTACTACAATAGCGCCAGGTTCGTTTACTTTTCTTCATCTCTTAAATGGTTGCCTCTTTTCCTTTATTCGCAAAACTGAGTAAGGTGCTGGTTTATTCAAACAAGAGCCGTCGTCTAACTATTTTATTAATGCCCTTTAGCTTTGAGGATTTGGTGATGGCACGGAATAACTTCAGCCACAGTATCTCTGAATCTGGTGCTCATGACTCAAGTAGCATCATTAAAACCAATCTTTATCTAATCTTCCGATGTCTTGAAGGCCTTGATGGTTCGTATTGATCCCTTTTGGAATTTTTTTCATCTAACTGTATCTGTATCCTCAGTAATTCCCTTTCAATTTTAGACCTGCGCATCGAGATGAAACGCAGCAATGCATCTGGTGGCACAGATTACAAACTCAGTGGTGTGTTTTTCATTCCTGCATGTTTAAATCGTTTTAATTTCTTTTTTAAATTATGCATTTTCTAGCACTTATTTGTCCTGACATATTATCTAGGCTTCAATGATATATGCCCTCCAGATGAAGGTTAGATTTCAGCTCTCTTTCCTCGGATTGGATTTTGTGAATCCACTTCACTCACCACTTTTGTTGTGTCATTTTATTCACCATTGAATTGCTCTTTTTTTGCCCTTTTCTTATTTCGTTCAGTTTTGGCTTTGGAGTTTTAATTTCATGTTATTTTCCGTTCTATTATTTTCATTTTATTGCACGGTTTTTAGTGGGTCAGAAAGGAAAATCAAGGCCCAAAGAAGGTACTGTTGAAACACGTTTGGAGAAAAAGCTTACCGGTACGCCCAGTCCAATAAAACTACTTAATTACATAAGTAGATAATTGATGATTTTATGTATTTCTTTTTCAAGATTCATGGAATCAGGGTTATGACCTCTTTAAGGATGTGTTACATTGTCGTGAGGCTGCCAATTCTGCTCGAAATGTATTGAGCATTATGGAGCGTTTTAGCTTTCTCTTCAGTCTCCCAGAATCCATTCGGAAGACTATTAAGCAGGTGCATATGGAGCTCTACTCACTATTTATTAGAAGCGAGGTTAAATTTGTATCTTTATTTCAGGGGGAATATAATTTGGCTGTGAGTGATTATAAGAGAGCCAATGCACTTTTTGCAACATCTGACTGTGGAGCCTTTCAAAGAGGCGAGTTAAAGTGATTTTGATGTTACTCAATGCAACCGAATTAGATTAGTTTTTCAATATTCTTGATTCCAATGTCGGCTTATTGAATTATGCTTAAGTTTTTTGCATCTATTTCATAGAAGATGAGGTATTATCTGTTGCATAATCATACAGTCAATTGAATAGAATTATGGGGCTGCTAATTTCTTCCTCCTACTTGTAGTTTTTACCGAGATTGAAACGGTCATTGCTGAGTTTCGAGAAACCTTAAAGTCTGAACTCCTTCAAGTGCCAATTGATGTAGATGAAGCCATCAAACGAATAAAGTGAGCTTCTTAAATCAACTAGAAAGCCATCGTGTTCGGAATCTTAATTTTTTTGCTTTCCCTTTTTTAGATGTCTTGAACAACTGGACGTGGATTATGATCCCTACTGGAGTTGTGCTGAAGCCTTCAAAAACTGGTTGATTGAGCATCTTCATGCTTATCAGAAGCGTTATCAGGATGAAACCAAACCTCCTCCAGAAACACCTAAATCTCCAACTCAACCTGCTATGCGTTCGAATTTACAAAGTAAGTAATGTGAATGATCGTTGAATATTTAGAAGGAAGGGCCACACTTTTGACTCTTCTTTAGGAAGAATTAGTTGACTATTAAGTTGCAACTTCCCAAAATCTATTTAGTGAGGTGTTATGGTGTTGGTAATCCACTCTATAAGATACCCGCTTTCTGTCAATGGCTGACCAGAATCAACCTATGGTCAATCAAATCACCCTATAAACATTGATCTCGTGATTTATTACAACGTGTTAATCGTTTCACATCCGGAAAATAGTCAAATCAACTCTTGTTGCAGTCAAATAATGCCACAGCGAGGTACGATAAACGATGTAGTGAATTTGTACTGTAGACACTGGTGAATGTTGTGTCAGTGCCTAATAACTCCTCCCAATTATTGGGATTGATTTTGCCTGGATGGGAATTTTAATAGAACCAAAAGTTGCAACTTAAACTTGGTCGTTGGAATCATCACTGGATTTCGTACAAACATGTGTTGTTACCTCTTTTACCATTCTTAGATCGCTTGGGAAAGCAGCAATTGACCATTCAATTATTGAAGCAGGTCTGCAGTCTTCTCTCTACACAATGTGTTCAACTCTGGCGTTTACAGGTTGTTTGCTTAGCTGCATCTCCAAATGCGAAATCTCCAACTGCTGAAAGAAGCGACGATCAGCAATCTCTTCAAGCTAAATATCAGGTGATAGTTTATCCTTAGAAACGGAGTTTCAGCTTTGTCAATTTGTATCTTATGTTTACCTCACATCAGAACTAATTATTTTCTCTTTTATCCTTTGAAAGGTTTTACTTGTAGCTGATGACATTCATAAGTTTTGGCCACGTTTCTTCAATATACGACTTTTTAGTAGTTTAATTTGTCTTTGTATTGCTGTTCTGTTTCTGATTCTTAGAACGCAAATATCGAGGTGATTCACCTACTGGCTAACTGTATTCGTGAGGCGGTTTTACAGCCTACATCTATTGGATCTCTGGAAACTATGCAGTCTGGCTGGGCTTCTACTTGTGTTCAGGAGTTCAGGTTTTTACCATAACGATTAATATTACTTTACTAACTTATGTAGGGTACTTGTTTGTGTAGCCGCATTTTCTGATTTTTAGAAACTGCTGTCTCAGCCTTCCATTGGATATTGTGCCGAGGGATGTGCAGTCTGTTCTAAGGCGTCTATCATATGATTTGCGTCGTCATGCTGTTCGAGACGTTCTCCGAACTTCTCAAACGAGTAAGCAGATGCCAAATTATCTACTGAGTATTACTAAGTAATCCTTTTTAAACCACTTTTTCTATCTTAGCTGTGGAATCACTTCATTTTAAGGAGAATTGGGAAATTGAAGTTACTGATAATGGGGGAAGCATTACACAGTTGGTCAGTTTACTTTTGACTTATTTTCTTTGTTTTTTTATACTATTCTGTAAACTCCTGCTCTTTGTAAAGCTTGTAAATAGTCTTGCCTCAAGTGCTAAATATCTAGTCTTTTGCTTGCAGTGTTTCTAGCTGTACTCCCAATAATTGACTTACAATGAAAAATTCATGTTATAAAAGCAATAGAAAAATAAACATTCGTCAATCTAGAAGACGTTACAACGTTCCTCTCTATATCTTGGTGTTAATCCAATTGTCTAGCTTGCATTATATTAGCTTTCGAAACACAAATCCGCTTCGTTTTAGAATGGTTTCATTTGAATTTATGCTAAAAGTAACAGATGCTACCAAAAGTAGTATGTAGGTATTGTTTGCACAGATATAACAATTTTTTATTCTTGGTGAGTAACCTATCGAAGTTCGGTTCTTAAACATCAAATTCGGAAAAATTTTTTGCCAAATTTTAGCCTCTTGCTTATGAAAACGTTATCATCGAGTCTCTTTCACGTTGTCGAACTCTCATGTCATCTCGCACTTCCCTTGAGGATTCAGTGAGTGCTAGTAATTTTTATTCCTTTCCATTTCCTTCGTAGTTGGGATTTTCACGTCGTCTTTCCTCTTGCTAGCTCTTCGAAACCCCTGAATACCACGAACGTTTCTCGCAGTCTTTCGCTGATCTCATGGTTGGATTCCTTAGCGCTCTGCAACACTTGGCTGAACAAATAGAGTATGCAAGGCTATGAAAACCTGTCGACGCTTTTAATGCTGACCTTAGTTCATCTGTTTTGTTCGTTATTAGACTTTCTATTTCGAGACAGGGCGCATCTGCAGATACACCCCAGGATGGTTCTGGAGGTTCTGTTGATGCAAATGGAAGTCAGAGGTCCGTTGTTGCTCAGGTAAATAACCCCACTTGTTTTTTCACTTTTATTTATCTCGCAAATCGGTCTTTACTTTGAGCTGTTAACAACATCATGATAATAAAATTCACTGCAAAATTATTCATGCAGGTGAAAGAAGTATTGACATTTTGTAATCGCGAAGATGCGTTAAAATAAGTGAAATGATGAAACTTAAATGTAGTGGATCCTATTTATTAATGGGTCAATTCCTCCACTTTTTTTTCACACGTTGTTCCCAGTTTAGCGGTAAAAATGATACGCAAAAGGAAGTCCAATTTTAGTTAAAATAATCTAATGTTTATGCATTTCTGTTTTATTCCTTTCAGAATTGACAACGTGCAAAGAATTTACTTTCTCTAACATTTTAATTTTAGTAATTGTATTTCTCCAGTTTTCGTTGACAGAATTTATAACCCTTTAAATAATCCTAACGCTTTAAAATTAAAAATGTAAACATTTCGTTAGTCAATTCAAAGTAAGGATAATCACTCTCTCACAACTATTTGTCCAGTCTAACGCGTTGGTGATACATATCTTAAATTGTAGACAATTAGGCTTCTTCTCGATTGCTTTCTCAATGGAAAGCTTTGCTAATCAATTGTTATGGTATTGAAATTGAGGAATGCAATTAACTAACTCTGTATGTGATAATAATCACAGCAATGTAATGATTTAAAAAAAACATTGAAAGTGTGTATTTTTTTATGACAATTTTGGTTAATATGGAGATGTAGGGTTCTGCTCATATTTCAGTTATTCTATAGTGGAGACCGAGCTGGCAGAGTGGGGTAGCGATAGGATATGAGTAATTTAATCATCTCGCTTGGAAGAAAATATGAACTCGCCCACATGTAGGAGCAGGAATGCATTTTGAAAACGGGCATTTATTTATAAAGCTATTCTCTTAAGCCATCTTTTCCATATTACGTTTCAAATTAACTACTATTTATTAATTATTTCTTCTAACTGCTTTATTTAAAAATATGCTCTCTAATTATCTAGAAGTGTTGGTAATTATATGAAAGGACAGAAAGGAGGGTTCCACCCTCCCCTCCCGAGCTGTAATACCAAGGCATTAATTCACTTCAACTACTAAAATTGGCATGGTGCTTGCGGTTGTAAGCACCTGCGTAACATTAATGGCCAGCCTCCAATTTAAAGAGAGATTTGATAACGCAGTAAGGTTAAAAGTGGTCTGTGGGCGTGTTTACGTGAAGAATGCCAAAGGAATGCAATTTGGGAATTGAAGTGGGGAGGGGGGGGGGGGTTAAGAGGAGTGCACTTGTGACAGTTGGCTGAGGGATGGGAAAGGATGCTTCCTTTAAATTAGTCACGCACGCAGAGGCATCTCAATTACCGCTGCCACTCAGTGAATGCAGAAGTGAGTCATTTTAATTTGTTTCTCCTTTCCTCTCACCTTCTCACTGTTTTAGGGGGGTAGGTTTTAAGTCTGTTTGTTTGTGTTGGCTTTTTTTCGCAAGTTATTTTTGGTCTGTGAATGGCAATGGACATGGAATCTCAAGTCTGCTTGAAATTGCATTTAATGTCTTCATCTAGGAACTTCTCCAGAAAATGTTTATCTCATTATCCTCATTAATAGCTTATACTTTGCCTTTTCAAAAGAAATATAGTCATTTATCTTGCTGATTTTTTTGGCGGTTTCTAAGTTTTCAGTCTTCTCTTTAGCACCTATTTTACGTCTGATTTAGAGTATTGGTGTCTTATCATCAATGTACTCCACTGTACTAAAATTCTATCGTCATCCAATTTTGCACTTATTTCACTTAATGGGCATTGTTTCCTGTTGTCTATATTTTACACATAGAGAGCCTTATCATGTCAGCAATTATTTGAGCTCTTTAGTCAGTTGTTGGAATCGAGTATTTAAATATGCCATCTCAATTAATTTGTCTCTTTTAATCTCTAAGAGCAACTAGCTATTTGATGGCAAGACTCTTAAACATGTAGCTCGCTCAAGTTGATTTCGTATTCTCCCTATGTTTATGACGCTGTTAACATGTTCGAAGGTTGTGGTTTGCGATTACCTCAAGATTTGTTGAACTTTGTCTTTTTTGGTAAGTATAAGTGCGCTGGTTACCAATATTCAGGCTTCCCTATTTTCTCATTAATCTGCTTAAGTTAGTTTCTTTGACCTAGAATTTGGAAGTTTATTCCAACTTTAGCACCTGCACTTGGATAAAAGTGCATCTTACTGGGGTCGATTTGAAAGCTTTCCACTCTCCTGTTCTTCACTTCTTTGTTTTGCTTTGTTGACAGTAATTCACAGTTGATCCCTCCTCCCTCTATTGTAAATTTTTATCAAGTACTCCTCGGGATCGTGATTTATTTGTTGTCTGTCGAAAGGGTTAAGATTCTTAAAAAGGGGTGCTGAGTTCAAGGGTCTTTTTACTGGATAGTAAAGCATAATATATCCGTAACAATAAGTTTGTTAGAGCGCGTTTTTATCTTCGTCAATTCGAGGTGTTGCTTAATTCTACTACCTGAAAAATTTGCTGGCTAAGTGATTATTTAAATGCACAAGTGAAATCAAATCTGTGCTTTTGGAAACCGACTTTCAAGCTAAATCCAAGTCAAATAGAATCCTCGCTAATATCTCAAGTCTTGAGGTTGTCAAGTACCAGTTAGCCACCAATCCCACAGGAATTTATGTAGGAATCAGGCATTTTAATTTTCTTTCTTTAACTACAATATCGTCAGCTCCGTATCTCTCTGATCAAATAGTATCTCTGATAGGCTGTTTTGATTAAATCTGTCAAATAAAGTACTGCTTTGAAGTGGATTATGAATGAAATACCTTTAAAGCGTAGATTTACTCTCGAAATAACAAATAGACTCCTCTGTTTAACCAAGTTAGTAAATCACCTCTTTTATATTTAAACTCGATTATGTTCTTTATAGGCTCGTGGTGTACTTCTACTTATCAGTAACGCTGACTGGGCAGCTAGACACGCCAATTCCCGAGCATTCAGCGCCTACGCATCAGGCGGTTTCGCCAACGTGGAAGATCTCCGTACTCGAGTCAATAATGGTTGGAGTGCTGCCACAGAGAAACTCATTGACCTCTACATTCGCATTCGTTCAACGTGGCTTTGTAATCCTCTTTCCAAAGAAGTCACTCCTGATATTGGTCTGTCATGCCACTTAGATAATTTAAGTAGTTGATAATTTTCAGGATCTTGCTCTTTGAGGGTATTTCATTCTTAAACCCCTTATTGTTGTCAAAATCTAACTTATTTATTGTTTATTCTTGAGTTTGATATTGAATTTTATAAGAAGCAGTGAAAGTGCATATTTTGACAGAAACCAAAATTAGGGTTTTGGTTTATGTTATTCACGTTTAGTTTGGCTTTAATCAGTTAGTACATTCTTGGTGTTTAATAAGTTCATTGTGTCAAATCAAATCTTTTATTGAATGCATTCAGTTTACATGTATATATTTTTTTGGCAAATATGTGTAATCCCAGCTTATTTTTTACTGTTATTCAAATGATTTCTATCGATGGTTAATGATTGTCCACGAAGATATTAAGGATTGAAAACTACTGTTTCCTAAACTTTTGACCTGGCTTCTGAAACATATCGCTGGACAAACATAAATCCTCTTTTGTGAAGCTAAACCACATTCGGTCTTATTTCCTCAAATACTTTAAGTCCAGATAATCCAAAGGTAGGAAAGCGCTAATCACAACCCGAGTTCCTGGCAGATCTTTGCATTTCATGCTCAGAACCGTCAAATTTAACTTCTCTCTATTTGGTAAATACTCTATTCCTCCTTTCTAAGACCCACCTGATTCGGTGTCTAGCCCTAAAGACAACGGCGGAAAGCCAGGGATACTGAAAAGCAAGAAGACAGCTAATGACCTGCTATTAATTAACTGCCATAAATGTACCCCCCCCCCCTGAAGCTGAAGTCAAAGTTTAAGGGTTAATGATAAATATCATAAAGCCTGCCATTTGAAATAAATAAAAAACACTCCTCCTTTCTAAATCACATATTCGCTGTAATCCCTAAACTACTCATCTTGAGTAGGCCAGTGGTACCATGAATCCATCTTGGTTAAAATCTCGAATGCTATCGTTTTCTTTATTCGTTTGACTTAATCATTAAGTTGCACGCTGATAGGAATCAGCTCCATGGTCTCTAGTTTCTCAGAATGGCATGTTAACTCCTTCCTTATTGCCAAAATAAATGTGGCCTCGTGTCTCCTTTTCTAACTCAAATTGTTCAAATCCTCATTTCGAATTTTAGTGGGTAGAAGTTTAAAATTTCCCCTCGCCTCTGATGGGTTAGATACTTTGCTAATGTTTCTACTTTTTAAGCCCTTAGTGGTGTAGATGGTATTTAGCTTCTCGACTAATTCACATTCTACACTTAGTACTTGCAATTTCAAAAATACCTTTAAGTGACAAATGTCATTTTGGAATGTTTTAAATGCCCACTTTCCCTCTATCCCCCTATCTAACGTCAATCCAAAGTCTTGCCTTAGCCAACTTATAATGACTCAAATGAGTGGCAAACGAAACTGTATTTGATAGTGTTTTTAATTACTCCATCTATATCCATTGTTTTTAGCTCTCCAAAGTGCGATGATTACGGCTCTCTGCAATCTCTCGCACATCCACTCTGAAATAGTCCTTCTTTTGGGGGTCTCTACGGCTATTGAAAATACTTCAAATGAAAATTCTGAGATTAGTTATGTTGATCGTCTCCTGCCAATCATGAAATCGTTCGCTGTTCGACTTTCCGAAGCTATTCGCTCGCGTTCTGGGTGAGTAGAAACGGATTTACTTTACTTTTGCGGATTTTGGTGTTTTTTTCTTTATCAAGTGCAAGCGCAATATAACTTATGGTCATGGTTAAGTTAATAACTTATCCAACTAGAATTCTCAGTCGTAATCTCGCAGAACAAAACCAATGTAGAAGACTCACTGTTATATAGTACTTTACCGGGGTGTGCGATAGACTTACCTCCACGTGGTGCACTCTGGGCAACGTATACTCATACGGCAAAAAGTTTATTAATCGGCAGTTGACTTCTGACTTCAAACTATCAAGACCCCACCGCATTTCAACTTCGGCTAATTCCACAGTACTCACCTTTTTTCTACCATTGTGTCTGTCTGTCTCTTTTACGTCCGTGAATCATTATTCTGTCCCCCCTCTCGACTTTTTGCCACTTTGGTGTTCCTCTTCCTTTCTGTGAAGCACGAAGTCAACAAAAGGGCTAATGATACCTATCATAACGCCTGCCATTTGAAATAAATAAATATAGTACGTTACTTTGAGCGTTGTGAATTTTAGCCCAAAGTGAATTAATTTCTTCATTTTACCTGTTTATCTGACTGGTACAATTAAATTCGAGCTTTAGATACATGAAATTTGATGAATTGTAGAAATATCTGAAAGAAATGCCTGCTTTTACTGACTTTTGGGCCGACGCCTCTGAAATTTATAATCTGGTGCTAGCAAAGTCATAAAACTGGTGGCGGAGTTAGCAACAGTGAGGTGGCGGTGTAGAAGTGGCAGAAATAATAATAATAATAATAAGGGCAAGAATTCAACTTTTTCTGTCTTTGCGTGTGGTCGAAAGGTTGAAGCAATGGGGTTTGGGGCAGTGTGCGTTGCTCCTTTCCTCTCTCCCTCGCCCTCCGCCTCTCCATCCTATTTCTTATATCTTACCAATCCTAGCCCACCCACTTAGTCTCTTTTGACAAATTTAATGAACAATGCCTGTGTTTGTATGCGTTGCGCGTGCACTGATCTTGTGGAATTTGGACTAGTTCAGAAGGGTAAAATTCTGTTGCCTTAGGAAATATCTAACTGCCACTATAGTTAAGTATTTCCAACAGTTATTGCTTAAATTTAAACGTAACCAAGTTTAGTTTTGTGTAGACATAATACGGCTATTTACTCTTATTTTCTAGCTATTAGCTTCCCAATGTCTATAATGTCAGTCTCTGAATAAAAGTGGGTTTAGAAGTAGAGAAAGCTTATGGTTGATATAGAAGTTACAGAGCCCCCTCATTTTCAATGATGTTCTGAAGTTGGATTTTCTAAATTCCAATGATGTCGTGATCTGAAACGTAGGACGCTAGATTTGCATCATTGGCAAACATTTTGAGTAATTGTAAAATATCTGGGGCCTATAATATTGATTTTAGCTCTCTGGTTAGTTGGATAGCAGATGACCCATTTTATCTGCTTAGCTAACCAACAAATCAAATCCCTTTATAAATTTTTCAGAGAACAAAATAACTAGTCCAACTGACCTTATTTCTTTTGTTTTCCCCAACGATTCTCCGTTCTCTACAGTAGGTAGGTAAAGTGAACAAACCAGACAAGGAAATTACGAAATGGATGTTTGTTAGTGTGAATTTTTTTCAACTTCTTTCTCATAGTGTACGTTTAGTGTTTTTTTTCTTTGTTCGCCCTCCCGGAAATTTCATGTGAAAGAGCGAGGAAACCTTGCCCCTCTAAAACTTTACTTCAATGAGAGAAGGAAAAAGTTAAACTAAATCTTATGGGAACACATTTGGATATTAGCGATTGATCCTGATTTTCAGCACGGGGTATTTACCTTAGTGGTAGGGAGGAAATGAGAGGCTTAACAGAATTGAGATTTTTCACCAAAAATGCCTCTCTTCACATTGGTTCAGATCTTTTTGTGGAATGAACGATATACCTGAGCAATCAATATCCATTCAATAACAATCGGTAGTCTGTTCCACCCTGTATGATACCATGTAAACTTCAATTCAATTTGCGCATAAATGTGTTTGATTATTAAATGAGGATATTATCGCTTTAACATTCTTACGAAGTTTATAATGTATGTATGTATGTATCCACGAGGTTAATAGATCTTTATAATTACTCTTATTTTGAACTATTCTCTTTCTCCTAATCTCTGCGTGTGTGGTCTGTCTGTCATTCTGGGTCTATCTATTTCGTTTTTCTCATACTTCACTTTTCTTTACTTATTTCAAGCACATGAACCATATTAATTTCTATTCATTAGATGCATCCCCCCTCACTGTTAATATTGTTCTGTTCTAACCACGTCTCTGGGTCGTCCGTTTTGTTTACTCGCTACCATACGTCTATCAATCTTTAATTAGGACCACCCACTAAGCTTATGTCCCCTGTTTTCGACCTTTGCTTTTCTCATTACTCCGCCCTTGTCTGTTTTCAATTGAGGCCACCCACATTCTTGCAGTCTCCATTTTCTAGTGCATATTGTTTTGCGTCTCTTCGCACTTATTTCATGTTCTTTTCCGTCTCTCAGATCTGCCATTGTCCACGTCGTAATGGTGTTTTAACCCATTCGGTAAACAATTCTTGTTGCCGCTTTAATCATTACATGCTTAATCTAGCAGCTCATGTGAATTTGCCTACGCATGAGAACTTACGCTAGATTGCCATTTATTCTCATCTTTTTCTGGTGTGTAAATAACCCATTTCCTTCTATTTACGACAGCACGCATACAGTCGGTAGTCTTTTCTCTCACGTCTTTGATAAATTACTGTTACAGTCCTTTCTTAATCACCCACTCTCAGGCCTCTTTACTTCTAATCCCTACCTCGTAGGCAGCCAGTAGAACTGTTTACTTGCCCCCATTTTCCTTTCTGCTTTCAATGAGGAACATCCGTGTCTTTGCGGTCTTCTTTTTTCCTTTTTGTCTCCTCTTTATTCTCACTCCTATTAGATTTAAGATAGAACACCTATATCGTGGACATGTTGGCATATCTCACTCGGGAGTTCTTAATGTTCAGAACTCAATGGTACGCATTCAATAAATGGAATAATCGTTCCTCCTGTAATGGCTAGAAAATCTCCATTTTGAATAGATCATTGCCAACTTCTTAAGTGATTCGTGAGAATTATTACTAAAACCACAGTTGTCTTCTTCTTTTTCAACTGCGTCCTGTTAACTCATTTTATTGCAGTTATCGATTGCAATCTTCTCACCCTCCCCACATTTTTTAAAATTATTTTGCAACTTCATCAAACTTCTCTTTTTCACTTCCTCTTTCTTTATTACTGCATGCTCGTTGTTTTGCCTTGTCTGTCTTTGTTTGAATCCATATTCACACGCTTTTTGTGTCTCATCACATTTTTTCTATTTGATCGTAGTTTTGCCTTTCGTCAAACTATTTTCAGGCCATTTCGAAGCTCCACTGGAGCCTCTCTGGTGAGAAATTCGCCTTTTGCGCACCAATAGTCACTATTAGGTTTGGTTTACTGAATATTATTCTTAGTGTACTTAATTGATAAGTTCTAACTTTACCGATGTACACACGTCAACAGTTATAACTGCAATTTTAAATGGAATTCAATTTTTACGATCATTAATATTTGTTCAAATAGCTTACGTGAATTTATTTATTTATTTCAAATGGCAGGCCCTTTAGTTGACTTCGGGCTTCACAGAAAGGAAGATGAACATCCAAGTGGTATAAAGTCGAGAGGGGGAAAGAATAATGATTCACGGACGTAAAAGAGACAGACAGACACAAAGGTAGAAAAAAGGTGAGGTGAATACTGTGGAATTATTCGAATAAGAAATGTAATGGGGTGATGGTAGTTTGAAGTCAGAAGTCAACTGCCAGTCAATAGACTATTTTACCGTATGAGTATACGTTGCCCAGGGTGCACCACATGGAGGTTAGTCTATCGCACACTCCAGCTCACGTGAATTTACAGAAGTAAAAGATGGGTAATTGGTCTCCTCCCTTGGAGTTAATTTTCGTTTTCCCATTAATCTCATTGTGTGTGGTCCTCAGTGCTCCATTGACGACAAACTGTGAACTAACGCATCTCTCTTCCTCTCACGTCATTGATAACCTATTAAAAACGCCCCTCTTCCCAATTTCCAACGTCATGCCCTTTCTTTTCTACTTTCTATGTAGGCTCTTGTTATACGAACCGACGAATTCGCCCGTCTGATTATATTTACTTCCTCACACGACTGGGTTTTCTCTTCCTTTTTCGCATTTTTTTATCATCTCATATCATGTCTGAAATGGCACGTCCCTATTGTATGCTAAATTCCCCTTAATCTTATTCCCTTTCCAATCGATTTACTCTGTGTGTTTCCTTTTTACTTCATTCCATATTTTTTACCTTTCGCTTTTGTCGTGGGTACTACGGGTTGATTTTCATTTGCCTTCAACTTTTAAAGCCCCCACGCAATGCAATCACTATCGTCTTCCACATGCGTTAATTCACATTACCCATTGCTTACCTTTCTTTCTCCCGTCTGTCAAGTAAGGCTGCCACTGTCACAACAATGCTTTTTTCCAATTAAAGACTGAAATGCTCCCTAGCTACTTCTCTATCATATATCGTATGTAACTCGTTTTTATATTAACTGCCGTATGTATGTAACAGTGTGTGTAGGGAAAGGAATAGGTGTGCAATAATCCTGATAATATGAAATTTGGGTAAAAGTATATCAAGTGCTTATAGGATTCCCTTATAACGTGTCTCATCTCGGTATTTACTTCCCCTCCCCTGAGTCGATATGGTCGCCCACACTTGCAGTCATTGTATTTTATTACAGTTTCATTGCAGAAACTTCCTTCTTTTATCCTAATTTTTGACTGCACTGTCTTTCTCCAGTTAGTTAGCGGTTGTCATGCTTGCTATCCTTTCTAGTTCGTATCATTTCATTATTTCTTTAAATGAAAATAAGGTTGTTGAACTCTCGAAATAGCAGATTTGATATTCTATGCTACTAAATCAACGAACTGAGAAATGTTGCTAATAATT